TAGAAATGTTCAACTCCGAATTATATTTAATTTTAAAAAAACCGAATCCTTGAAAGATATTAGTAATATTAGTAAAAGTGTTAATTATAAATTATATAGGGCAGAGAAAGTTAGTGAGGATATGGAGCTAAAATTGACCAATAGAATACTTGTCTTATTTATGACTCAAATATTCCCTGTAAATTTTGACAGGATGGTAAAACAGTGTTACACTTGCCTGTGTAGTGAGGAGACAAAACATTGGTTCTCAAATGGTGTTCTACTGAACCCTAGGGTTCCGTTGAAGAGTTAAGGGGTTCCGCGAGTTAGTGTGCTTTGCAACCTGTAATAAATTTTGAAATCGCTTATTATATTTAGATCCAACCTATAACTCGTAATTTATTAAATCTTCCGGTTGCCTTTACGAAATTATTTCGAGTAAAATGCCAATGAAAAAAGAAATGGCCTTTTTTAAATGAATATATATTTCTCATAGCAATGGTGATCAAATACGGAAAGAGCAAGCATTTATAAAATATTTTATTAGTATTTCAATAACAAATTAAAATAAAATGCCTAAATTTCTTAATAAAGCACCCTGACTGTAATAACTATTCGCCTGACCCTAATAACTATTTTCAATATTTATAACGACTTTTTTAATTCATTTTTAGCTTATGTATATACACCAAAAACAAATTCATAACTAGACTAGATATAGCATAAAGACTACTAATTTAACTATCAATTTAAGATTATTAGTAATAAATTGATAAAAAAATCGTCTTTCATCAAATTAAATATTTTAAAAGTATTCTTTTATGGATTATGACGTTCACTATCATCTTAATAAACTTTATAACGTATAAGTTCCGTAGAAAGAAGGTCAATAAAACAATATTAAGGAAAAAAGATTGTTATAAAACTACAGATAAGAATTAGCTTATCTATAATTCAAAATCAAGAAAAACGTTAAAATTTTAATGAAAAAATATGTTCAAAATGAAGATTAGTAAGCATTTTTAGCAAATTCGTAAAAATTGTCCACACTAGCATCGTTTCCCCTATGTCTACTTTTTTATATGCGATTAGAATTAAGGGTATTTTGAATAAAATTACATTTTATAATATGATAATTGAAGAAATAAAGTTTAAAAAATATATTTGTACAAAATGTGAAATTATGCAAAATCATTTTGAAGAAAGAACCTTATCACACACTCTCACATATAAAAGCATTTTTTTGCACGAAAATTCTTTAGTCTTTAGTTAGTTAAACTCTTACAATTTTCGCATTAAATTCTTTTGTCCACCCTTTTAATTAACTTTTATAATACACTTGGTTTTGGAATTTATGAATTAAAAGGCAATCTAATCAAATTTTTTCTGCGCTCTTTATCAGTAATTCAGTCAAACATAACGTTCAAATGTGATATATTAAGTTTGCGATAAATTATAATTTAAATAACTGTCCTAAAATTCATATGAGTAATATTGTTGTTCACATTATCATTAATATCTGTCTAAATAATTTTTATAAAATCAAAATTTTAGTTTATTTTATTAGCATGTTGGACCTATTTTTGAACAAACCGGAGTTGAAAAATTTTTCCAACTCCAACTTTAACTCCAAAACTATGGCTCCTCAGTACTACTTTTGACATCTTAAGGAATTTCACAACAGTGTCTAATTTTTAATGATTTAATACCATTTTACAGCATAATTTGATTATTGTCAGTCATAGGTGAGAATCTAGTTTGTTGCATTACCAAGATGCCTTTTACAACAAGTTGCTTTTTAGTGCAAATCATTGCAGGTATTAGATCTAAAAAAATTGAAGAAAACTGCTATATTAACGCATAAGCATTCTTAAAGTTTTTAAAAATTTGTAGAAATTGTTTTAAAGCCACTTAAATTTCCACTCTCCAAAGCTTGTTTCCTGAAAAAGCCTAAAAAGTATTGAAAAATATTCTATACGTTATTCAAAATAGGAAGCAAATTTTAACACATTTCTTTGAGCTATATAATAAATTGGAAGTTTTTATGGCATAAAATAAATAGAAAGCACATGAATGGAAGAAAAAAACTTTCTTCGTAAGACAACAACGTAAGGAAACTTGAATTTCAACTTTCCTAAGCTTTTTTTCTAAAAAGGTCAAAAAATAATTACAAAAATTATCAAAAATTTGTTCAAAAATGGAAGCTGATTTTGACACATTTTTCAGATCTACATAATAAATTCGAAATTTCTATAGAATAAAATAAATCGAAGACATGAACGGAAAAAAAAAGTTTCTTCATTACAACCTAGCCTAAACCATTCACAATAACCTAACTGAACTTGAATTTCGACTATTTCTGAAAAAACCTAGAAAATTATTTTTAAAAAAAATTACCTAAAATTTATTCTAAAATTTAAAACCAATTGCTATATAATGAATTTCTTTGTAACAGAAAATATGTTTAAGGAGGAGGGAGAAGATCAATGAAGAGCAGCCTCAACGGAACTATACACAGTTTGTTTCCTAAAAAGGCACCATCAGACATTTCTTAGAGAATAAATTAGAAATTTCTATGGAATAAAATAAATAGGGTGGAAAAAAGTTTCTTCATCAAAAGACTATAACCTAACTGAGCTCGAATTTCGACTATTTCTAAAAAGACCTAAAATTTTATTAAAATAAATTGCCAACAATTTATTAAAAAATTTAAAGCAAATTAATATATAATGAATTTTTCTGTAATGGAAAATATGATAAAGGTGGAGAGAGAAAATCAATGAAGAGCAGTCTTAACGGAACTATGCATAGTTTGTTTCCTAAAAAGGCCCCATCGGACATTTCTTAGAGAATAAATTAGAAATTTTTATAGAATAAAATAAATATGGTGGGTAAAAATTTCTTCATCAAAAGATTCTAACCTAACTGAACTTGAATTTCGACTATTTCTAAAAAGACCTAAAATTTTATTAAAATAAATTGCCAACAATTTATTAATAAATTTGAAGCAAATTAATATATAATGAATTTTTCTGTAATAGAATATATGATAAAGATGGAGGGAGAAAATCAAGGAAGAACAATCTAAACGGAACTATCCATAGTTTGTTCCCTAAAAAGACCCCATCAGACATCTGCTATATAATAAATTGTAAATTTCTATAGAATAAAATAAATTGAAGACATTAGTGGGGGGAAAAAGTTTCTTCATCATAAAACAATAACTCAACTGAACTTGAATTTCGACTATTTATAAAAAAAAACTAAAAAATTATTTTAAAAAATTACCAAAAATTTATTCCAAAATTTAAAGCTAATTGCTATCAAACGAATTTCTTTGTATTAGGAAATATGATTAAGGTGGAAGGAGAAGATCAATGAAGAGCAACCTTAACGGAACTATGCACAGTTTGTTTCCTAAAAAGGCCCCATCAGACATTTCTTAGAGAATAAATTAGAAATTTCTGTAGAATAAAATAAGTAGGAGACTTAGGTGGAAAAAAGTTTCTTCATCAAAAGATTATAAACTAACTGAACTTGAATTTCGACTATTTCTAAAAAGACCTAAAATTTTATTAAAACAAATTGCCAATAATTTATTGAAAAATTTGAAGCAAATTAATATATAATGAATTTTTCTGTAATAGAAAATATGATAAAGATGGAGGGAGAAAATCAAGGAGGAACAATCTAAACGGAACTATGCATAGTTTGTTCCCTAAAAAGACCCCATCAGACATTTCTTAGAGCTATATAATAAATTGTAAATTTCTATAGAATAAAATAAATTGAAGACATTAGTGGGGAGAAAAAAAAATTCTTCATCATAAAACAATAACTCAACTGAACTTGAATTTCAACTATTTATAAAAAAAACTAAAAAATTATTTTAAAAAATTACCAAAACTTTATTTAAAAATTTAAAGCTAATTGCTATCTGCATTTCTTTGTATTAGAAAATATGATTAAGGTGGAGGGAGAAGATCAATGAAGAGCAGCCTTAACAGAACTATGCACAGTTTGTTTCCTAAAATGGCCCCATCAGACATTTCTTAGAGAATAAAATAGAAATTTCTATAGAATAAAATAAATAGGGTGGAAAAAAGTTTCTTCATCAAAAAACTATAACCTAGCTGAACTTGAATTTCGACTATTTCTAAAAAGACCTAAAATTTTATTAAAATAAATTGCCAACAATTTATTAAAAAATTTGAAGCAAATTAATATATAATGAATTTTTCTGTAATGGAAAATATGATAAAAGTGGAGAGAGAAAATCAATGAAGAGCAGTCTTAACGGAGCTATGCATAGTTTGTTTCCTAAAAAGACACCATCAGACATTTCTAAGAGAATAAATTAGAAATTTCTATGGAATAAAATAAATAGGGTGGAAAAAAGTTTCTTCATCAAAAAACTATAACCTAACTGAACTTGAATTTCGACTATTTCTAAAAAGACCTAAAATTTTATTAAAATAAATTGCCAACAATTTATTAAAAAATTTGAAGCAAATTAATATATAATGAATTTTTTTGTAATAGAAAATATGATAAAGATGGAGGGAGAAAATCAAGGAAGAACAATCTAAACGGAACTATGCATAGTTTGTTTCCTAAAAAGGCCCCATCAGACATATTTTAGAACTATATAATAAATTGGAAATTTCTATAGAATAAAATAAATTGAAAACATTAGTGGGGAGAAAAAAAAATTCTTCATCATAAAACACTAACTCAACTGAACTTGAATTTCGACTATTTCTAAAAAAAACTAAAAAATTATTAAAAAATTTTTCAAAAATTTAAAGCTAATTGCTGTCTAACGAATTTCTATGTATTAGAAAATATGATTAAGGAGGAAAGAGAAGATCAATGAAGAGCAACCTTAACGGAACTATGCACAGTTTGTTTCCTAAAAAGGCCCCATCAGATGTTTAGATCTTATTGTTTATGTCATATTCCTGGTCTATGATGATATCGTGCAGTCCACATTTTCTTCCAAATCAGTAGGCAGGTCGCAGACGCCGGAAATGACACACCTGTTAAACGCCTGTGAAAGAAACCCCGGTAACACACAGAACAATCATTTAGATGTGATCTCCGAAACCGGAGTGAAGGATTTTTTCAAAGCTGTAGTTAGGGTTGGGGCGGAACCTTCCTAGTTGATCGTGACTCTGCCCATCTGTTACGAGGTGAGTCAAACGATAACTTGGGGATGGAGATTCATTCACGGAAAATGTGTTGGTGAAAGCGGTTTATTTTTTCTCTCCTCGCCAAACTATGCTTTAGATAATCAATGATATTTTAAACAATACATAGATTACGTATTTGTATGGATAGAATGATAAGGAAATCAAAATAAAGTTCCGAAGAACAATATTGGAGGATTTAATTGTGGTGTTATTGTTGAAAAAATATATGCATGAGTCAACGACAGATTTTTGACTATTAACAATATCGTATTATGGCATTTAAAAGAATTTAAATCTTTTTTTTTTTAAAAAAAAGATCTGAAAAATGCAATTTTTAGGAATGAATTTCAATTTAGTTTCAAACTATTTGAATTGGATTTTATCTGTTTTATTAATTTTAAATCATAAATCCTGCTATGGATACCACCATACAGTTTTAGATTACAACAATCGTTTTCATCTTTACTGGAAATTAGACAATCCGAATGAAAGACTGCTCTTTCGAATTGAAGTTGAAACACATGGCTATGTTGCTATAGGCTTATCAGTAAATGGAGGAATGTCTGGAAGTGATATAGCCTTCGGATGGGTGAAGAACGGAAAAGCTTTTCTACAGGTAAGTTTGTTTTTTTTATTGGTGATAAATTAAAAATATTTTGTAGATAACATTTATTTTTTCCCTGGTCTAATTATAAGAGCCTTTATATAATTATGTATTGTAGTTTTCAAATCAATGTGAACAGTGCTTCGTAATGACCACCCTAAATACAGGAATTTTAAATCCTTGTTGAAACTGAAATAAACACATTAAGTCTTGCAAAATAACATTTAAGCGATGAAAAAATAAAAATAATATTGAAATCTATCAAGTTACTACTGCAGAAAGCAGGAATAAAAACAAGACGAAGGTTAGTGTTAAAGGTTGGATCAATTTAATTGCTTGGAGAAACGGAGGAGTTGTAAGTGGATTACTAGAAGCACCTTTAAGTTTCTTCAGGCAATTTTACTTTCTTTAAAGGTCTTGATCCGCCTTCCTCACTAGTTTTTCGACAGATTTTAATATAGTTTCTGTTTCTCCCTCTCTTGAATATTAACTTATCATTTTAAAACTTTGCATTAAGAGGGAAGATAGAGCAACGCCATGTAGAAATTGTTATTATAGTTCTTGCTTCAGCTCTAGATTTTGAAGCCATTTTGTGCCAAGGCACGAGTGTAGGGACTGTTATTAAACAACAATTTCTATCTCACTTTATCCACTTGAAATTGACAAATAGCTCATATTTTAAGAGTCTAAGGACGCAAAATGCAGCCATGCAGGAATCAAACTTGCCACTATAAGGATCTTGGGTGAGTGTATATATATATATATATATATATATAGAAAAATATAAATGTTTGATTTCAGGATATGAAACGAATGAATAAATCTAAAAGATATGTATTGAACGTGCGTGACAGATAGATAATGTATAAAAAGAAAGTTCACAATACAGCCAAAAAAAGTTGATTCACAAACCTTCTGATCCGATTGCATATGTAGTTTGGGATACAATAAATTATGAGATCACAAGAATGATAAAATGTTAGATTTACAAGCACGGAAAAGAAATTAAAAAAGGAAAAAGAAACGGTGATATTTAAAAAATATAAAACACAACATTCGACTTAAATTGACCACACAAAACAAAATCATCACTCAGAAAAATATTTTGCGGAATTAGTCTATGCTAAATGCGATAAATTGCAAAATATTTTTTTAATTTAGAAATAAATTAAAAATTAAATTGAAAGAGGATGTGTATAAAGACAGTATTACATTTTATCGAAATAAAACAATGCATTATATAATAGGAATTCAAGAAAATTGAACACCCATATGCTATAAAATAACCTATCTTGATCAAATAAAAAATACTGAAACTTTGAATGATTGACCAGAGGGATAGTATTTATTATGTTCGATTTCAATTATTAAGGAAAATAATATGCATAAAAAGCCCAGAAATTATGCTACATATGGAATTTATGAACGTCGAATTCACTGCATGAAATACAGCAATTTGTAAAAACAATTTCCGCATTCTTAGCTGTCAATAACTACGATAAATTTAGGAAAATTTTTTAATAGTAACTCTTACAGAAACATTGTTTTACTTTTTCGTCTTAAGTAAATCTTTAATAATACAGGTTAAAATTGAGTTTTATGTTGTTTCGTTGCGTACTGTTACATGC